AACAACAACAACAACAACTTTTAAGAAATAGATCTAGAGAGGAATAGTGTTCTTGTTTATAAAGATGCTTGGAGAAGTTTGGCCATAGAATCCTTTCCCTTTTCTCTCTTGAGTTCTAATTGAATAGAAACGAAATGGAAACAATTCAGAGGGGAAATGACCAAAGCTGTTCAGAGAATCTGTTATATCAGAATAGAGAATGGGAAATTCTTTTATTCTCTGAGTATATATTTTGGCAGTCTGTGATAGATACAATGTATCTTCCCCAAGTGTGGCCAGTAAAACAAAACAACCTAAAAACCAAACTCACAAGTCTTTTCCCAGTATTCCAGGTACTTAGGTGCTAATCTGCCCCAGCTGGAAGAAACGAACCAGTGCCACCTGGATTTTAGTTAATGATCTTTAACTCAGCTGTTTATAGCATTAATCAGACATGTTTAGCTCTTTTCTTTGGTTTTTCTTTCGTCTTCACTACCTCTTGCCTCCAAGTTAGAATTGACTCATACCTGAGCGCTGGCAGATTTTCCGAGACTGATTTATTTCCCCTCATTGTGTATTTTCAGGGCTCAGAGTATAATAATTTTTTTTTCTTTTCCCTTACTCTAGCACCAGCAAACGTTTTTAAATCAACTAAGAGAAATTACTGGAATTAATGATGCTCAGATTCTACAGAAAGCTTTGAAGGTAAGGTCTTTCCTTTATGATGCAAAGTTTATGACTTGCCTACCATGTTTGAAAATTGAGGTTTCTAGTTATGCGATCTAGCAGTAGAGGTCTAGGAATGAATTTTTGTAAAGAAATGACCTCATTTAAGTGTGAATATGTTGATTTTTAGATAGAATTTGAGTTGAGAATGTTACTCTTTTAATTCAAGACTTAGATCTTATCTTGGAGTAGTCTGTGAACTTTTTCCTTGTATTGTATGTCTTATTTAATACGATAGCAATTATTACTGCAGTCTGTGTCTCTGCTCTTTCTCTTTTTTTACCTGTTCATAATATACACTTAGAGTGATCATTTTATGGTGTGAATTCTGCCATCCCATTCTGACCCTTTACGGGCCTCTGTTACATGAATGTTAAAGTGTTAAGCCTGTAAACCTTACATATTTTAGATCTCTATTACAAAGGTAACTTTATTAATATATGGTTTTTCTGTGTTGTGTAAAGCAGAGAGGGCAATGTGTGAAGAGAGTGTGTAGATGGCCACTAACTGACTGCTACTAACTCCACAAGGGGCAAAACAAACAGCAAGCATTACAAAACCAGTTCCAGTGAAGTCAGACAGAACATGCTTCCACACCTACTTTTACCAATTATAAAACTAAATGTGTGTGTTTCCCCTCCCCCCCCCCCCCCGCCAGGGTTCTTGATGCTTCTGTGCAACTGGGTCTTTGAGTCCATGGCAGAGGCCACACAGAACTCTCAGACAGCACTCATGTTTGAGTTATTATTAGGGGTGTGTTACTCACTTACTCATTCAGTAACACATTGCTAGAAACAAAACTTGTTAAATTGGAACCTACTCATAGCTGGTTCTGCATTGAGGACATTGCATGAGAATACCCATCTTTCTCCTGTATCAGTATAGTAACAGATTACAATTCAGGTAGGAGACAGAATAGATTTTTTTCTACTCAGGACAGCTTTAGAGGCACCCTCTGACCTCTGGCCTGAAGTCTTGGGCCACTATTACAAAGCTCTTTTAATCCTGTCACCTAATAACACCTCCCTCCAACCCTCCAGTAAACATGGACAGGGGCTCTGAGCTCTGACTTCATGTGGTAGGCAGTTCCAGTTTAGCTCTGTGTCATGCTGACCTTTGATTATCCACCACCTTTCTATTGCTGCTTCTGCTGCCTGTTGATGTCTATCTTGCCAGTAAATTTGTGGCCCAAAAGGATGCACTGCACCTCTTGCTTCTTTCTTGATAGTAGCAAGATTTTCATTTTCTTCTTGTGTACCTGATAAATTTAAGGCTGTTGAAATGGCAAAACTGACTAGTCCACTCACTAATCGTCTACATGTCTTCATGTTTTCAGCCAAAAGGTACTATTTAGTTAACGTACACTGTGGGCGTAGTCCTGGCCAGTATGTGGTGAAAGCCAAAGCCATTAACTTGGAAAACCATTTTGAATATATGTTGCTTCATTTAGCAGTCTCAGTTTACTTGTTGTCAACTATATAGGGAATATAATCTAAATAAATAAAGAAATAACTGGGCTAATTATTCTG